TGTGGTCATTAAAAATCCTAGGGTGTTTCTCAAAAAGAGTAGGAGTGTTACCCTGGCACCCTGGCAAAATTTCCCATTGGCCTTTACCAATCATGGCCTCTGAATAATCTCGATCTATGAATTGGCTTCATCACTCTGTTCTCCTCCCCACTGATAGCTGATGTGTGGTGAGTGTACTGGTGCACATTGGCTGCTGTTGCATCATCCAGATGTGGGCTGGTGGTGGTGGAGGGGTGTCTCCATTACCTGTAAAGCACTTTGAGTGGACTGTCCAGAAAACCCAGACATAAGTGTAAGAAATTTTTAATTATTATTATTTCATTTCATGATGTGTTGTCAGAGGCACAACGGCCATCCTTTTCTCAATAGAAAGAACTGAGAAATTAGGTAATACGGAAGGTACTGCTCATTTGTCACAGTGCTAAACTACCTACAAAAGATTAAACATAGCTCTTACTAGAAAGCAAAAATCCATGCGATGATTTGTGAAACACTCACACATTGCACACAACTTCCAAAGGTTCTACAATCCAGCAGACCAACAAAACAAAGTAACCTGAAGAGCAATATTTATTTGTCATGCTAGAGGTTGTGAAAGATACCTGTATATGGTAGTATGCCCTAGAAACGTTGTGTATTAAATCTCTACTTTCTTGCTTACCAGAAGAGGTAGCTCCCAGCGTGCTTACCTTGTCCATGAGGTGTACCTACAGATAGCCTTTTCCACTGTGGCAAGCCCCAGCCAAACAGCTTTACAAAACTTCAGACTAAACGTCCCTTAGATTTTTGTTCTTTCCCCTTTTTGTTGGACTACGTGCAACACTGGAACCCACTACTTTCACTGAGAAACTACACAAGACTTTCCATGTAGAGTGGTGGCTCTTAAAATGTACCTTGCCCCCACCCCCACCAGCAGATTCCAAAACACAACTGGCCTTGGTTTTACTTATTAATTTCTTTGTGCATACCCAAAATGCCTCTAGGTATGCTGAGTACCTTGCTGGTATGTCACTCTGTCTGCCCACTTTTGTGGTTTATGGTTAATATGATGCATCATTAGTTTTAGCTGGGTACCCATCATTTTGTTACAGAATAGGGAAGCTCATTAAAAAACAATGTTGGGTTACCATACAGTGTCCTGAAAGGTTAGACTCACCGGCACATGTTGCATCAGGTAGAACTCAGTTCCGATGACTGATGCATCACCGCAATGCAGTAGTGGCTGTGGCACAGGAAACCCAGCTGAGAACAAGGCCTCCTGTACCCGGAACTCTCTGTCCACCTTTGAAATACATCAGGCAGGCATTATTAATTGAACAATAAACCATCACACATAAATTGAGTGTCTAAAGAATGACCAATGAAGCCACATCAGATGTAGAACTTCTAACCCTTACAACCATA